ATCCAGGTCCGTTGGTTTCGGTCCCAGGCCGTTTTCATTAAGGGGAGGTTTACTAATGGGAGGTTTGTCCACCGCCGAAGGGGGCTCTTCAAAATGAGCTCCCCCCGCCCTTCCCCTCGCCCCCCCGGGAGCTGGGACGCGTGCGTGAAGGGGGCTGGTCTTGCCGGTCCCCGATGGCCTTGCCCGTGCTGCCTGCTGCTGCTCGTCCCCGCTCCCATCCCTTCCCCCCCCCTCCCCTCCCACCGTGCAGTGGAGACCCATGCCAAGAACGACTCTGCTTGCCTCCAGGGTGCCCTGTGTTTCTTGGGTTTCGATGGCTCTGCGATGGAAAGCGTGACGTTCCCACAGCAAAAATCAGTGGACGTCCTGGAATCTCAGGGTTGGGTTTCTTGCGCCCTCCCCCCCAATCGTACTCCGAGTATCTCAACAAACGTCGGGGGGGCGTCACCCCCGCAGACAGCCCCACATCCACCTCCGTCGCGCGGGCAGCCACCGCGCGCCGAAGGCGCTCCGACCCCCGTCGCGGCGCGACGACGAGGCGAGGTTGACCCCGTCGGGGGGGTACCCCCCCACGCTTATCAAGAAACCCACCGTGGACGGGCGAACGGCGATGTTCGCCACGGCGATGTAGCTTTCGGCATCGTGGGAACGCGTGGCTCGCGCTTTCCTGCAAGTCGCTGTGTCCTTTTCGTTCGATCCATTCGCAGAGTGGCATTGCAGGAAAGTGTGGTTCGTGCTTTCCGACAGTTAAGTCGGGCGTGTCCCTCTACAGGGGTAACATTCAAAAATAGTCAAAACATGTTCTGGTGACTATTTTTTGAGCATTTGTTGGCCATTCTTTTTTTTTGTTACCTAACAGCTTTTGCTGATAGGTTTCTAGTGGTGTCAAAAGAGAGCAGCAGATGACTCCACAGGGGGGTCGGGGCGGGACCCGGGGAGCTGTGTCCGAACTCGTGTCCGAATGCGTTTTTCGCAAACAGTCACACACTTCGTGCTCTTCGACCTCCCAGAACTCCATTCCCGGGCCACATTCTGAATGCCTGGAGCCAACTGTAGGCCACTTCGTGCTCTTCGACTTCCCAGAACTCCATTCCCGGGCCACATTTTGGATGCCCGGAGCCAACTGTAGGCCACTTCGTGCTCTTCGACTTCCCAGAACTCCATTCCCGGGCCACATTTTGGATGCCCGGAGCCAACTGTAGGCCACTTCGTGCTCTTCGAGTTCCCAGAACTCCATTCCCGGGCCACATTTTGGATGCCCGGAGCCAACTGTAGGCCACTTCGTGTCTTCGAGTTCCCAGAACTCCATTCCTGGGCATGATTTTGAATGCCCGGAGCCAACTGTAGGCCACTTCGTGTTCTTCGAGTTCCCAGAACTCCATTCCCGGGCCACATTTTGAATGCTGAGGCAGGCTGATGCTGAGGCTGAGGCAGGCTGAGGCTGAGGCAGGCTGAGGCTGAGGCCGAGGCTGAAGGCAGACTGAGGCTGAGGCTGAAGCAGGCTGAGGCTGAGGCTGAGGCAGGCTGAGGCTGGCTGCAGGCTGGCTGAGGAGGCTGAGGCTGAGGCTGAGGCTGATGCAGGCTGAGGCTGAGGCTGAGGCTGCTGAGGCTGAGGCTGCAGGCTGAGGCTGAGGCTGAGGCAGGCTGAGCTGAGGCTGAGGCTGAGGCTGCTGAGGCTGAGGCTGAGGCTGTGCAGGCTGAGGCTGAGGCTGAGCAGACTGAGGCTGAGGCTGGCTGAGGCAGGCTGAGGCTGAGGCTGAGGCAGGCTGAGGCTGAGGCTGAGGCAGGCTGATGAGGCTGAGGCAGGCTGAGGCTGAGGCTGAGGCTGATGCTGAGGCTGAGGGCTGAGGCAGGCTGAGGCTGCTGCCGAGGCTGAAGGCAGACCTGAGGCTGAGGCTGAAGCAGGCTGAGGCTGAGGCTGAGGCAGGCTGAGGCTGAGGCTGAGGCAGGCTGATGCTGAGGCAGGCTGAGGCTGAGGCTGAGGCTGATGCAGCCTGAGGCTGAGGCAGGCTGAGGCTGAGGCCGAGGCTGCAGGCAGACTGAGGCTGAGGCTGAAGCAGGCTGAGGCTGAGGCTGAGGCAGGCTGAGGCTGAGGCTGAGGCAGGCTGAGGAGGCTGAGGCTGAGGCTGAGGCTGAGGCTGAGGCTGAGGCAGGCTGAGGCTGAGGCTGAGGCTGAGGCAAGGCAGACTGAGGCTGAGGCTGAAGCAGGCTGAGGCTGAGGCTGAGGCTGAGGCTGCTGAGGCTGAGGCTGAGGCTGAGGCTGAGGCTGAGGCTGAGGAGGCAGAGGCAGGCTGAGGTTGAGGCTGTGCAGGCTGATGCTGAGGCAGACTGAGGCTGAGGCTGAGGCTGAGGCAGGCTGAGGCTGAGGAGGCGGAGGCTGAGGCGAGGCTGATCAGGACTGATGTGGGCTGAAGCAGGCTGAGGTGAGGCTGAGGTGAGGCTGGGCTGGCTGAGGCTGAGGCAGGCTGAGGCTGAGGCTGAGGCTGATGCAGGCTGAGGCTGCGGCAGGCTGAGGCTGAGGCCGAGGTTGAAGGCAGACTGAGGCTGAGGCTGGAGCAGGCTGAGGCTGAGGCTGAGGCTGAGGCTGAGGCTGAGGCAGGCTGAGGCTGAGGCAGGCTCAGGCTGAGGCAGGCTGAGGCTGAGGCCGAGGCTGAAGGCAGACTGATGTTGAGGCTGAAGCAGGCTGAGGCTCAGGCTGAGGCAGGCTGAGGCCGAGGCAGGCTGAGGCTGAGGCTGAGGCAGGCTGAGGCTGAGGCTGTGACTGCGACTGCCGTTGCCACTGCGACTGCCATCGAGAATGCGACAACGACTGCGAGAACAGCAGAATTTCACAACAGGGTTCTCATCTGAATCTTAAGGGGAATGCTTCCAGACATGCTCTTACACATCGCTGTTAGGTTGCTTTGCCGTTTTTTTTTTTTTTTTTTTTTTTTTTTTTTTTTTTTTTTTTTTTTTTTTTTTTTTTTTTTTTTTTTTTTATTAACAGCTTTTGCTGATAGGTTTCTAGTGGTGTCAAAAGATAGCAGCAGATGACTCCACAGGGGGGTCGGGGCGGGAACCCGGGAGCTGTGTCCGAACTCGTGTCCGAAAACGCTTTTCGCAAACAGTCACACACTTCGTGCTCTTCGACTTCCCAGAACTCCATTCCCGGGCCACATTCTGAATGCCGGAGCCAACTGTAGGCCACTTCGTGCTCTTCGACTTCCCAGAACTCCATTCCCGGGCCACATTTTGGATGCCCGGAGCCAACTGTAGGCCACTTCGTGCTCTTCGAGTTCCCAGAACTCCATTCCCGGGCCACATTTTTGATGCCCGGAGCCAACTGTAGGCCACTTCGTGCTCTTCGAGTTCCCAGAACTCCATTCCCGGGCCACGGAGCCAACCCACGAGTTTTGCCAATGCCCGGAGCCAACTGTAGGCCACTTCGTGCTCTTCGAGTTCCCAGAACTCCATTCCCGGGCCAGATTTTGAATGCCCGGAGCCAACTGTAGGCCACTTCGTGCTCTTCGAGTTCCCAGAACTCCATTCCCGGGCCGCATTTTGATGCTGATGCAGAGGCTGAGAATGGTGATGCTGATGCTGAGGCTGAGGCAGGCAGGCTGAGGCTGATGAGGCTGAGGCAGGCTGAGGCTGAGGCCGAGGCTGAAGGCAGGCTGAGGCAGACGCTGAGGCAGGTGAGGCTGAGGCAGGCTGAGGCTGAGGCTGAGGCTGAGGCAGGCTGATGCTGAGGCAGGCTGAGGCTGAGGCTGAGGCTGAAGGCAGACTGAGGCTGAGGCAGGCTGAGGCAGACGCTGAGGCAGGCTGATGCTGAGGCTGGCTGAGCTGAGGCTGAGGCTGAGGCACAGAGGTGAGGCTGAAGCAGACTGATGCTGAGGTGATGCAGGCAAGGGCTGAGGCTGAGGCAGGCTGATGCTGAGGCAGGCTGATGAGGCTGTGGCTGAGGCTGAGGCAGGCTGAGGCTGAGGGTGAGGCTGAGGCTGAGGCTGGGGATGCAGGCTGATGCTGAGGCTGAGGCAGGCAGGCTGAGGCTGAGGCAGAGGCTGAGGCTGAAGCAGGCTGAGGCTGAGGCTGAGGCTGAGGCTGAGGCAGGCTGAGGCTGAGGCCGAGGCTGAAGGCAGGACTGAGGCTGAGGCTGAAGCAGCTGAGGCTGAGGCTGAGGCAGGCTGAGGCTGAGGCTGAAGCAGGCTGATGCTGAGGCAGGCTGAGGCTGAGGCTGAGGCTGATGCAGGCTGAGGCTGAGGCAGGCTGAGGCTGAGGCCGAGGCTGAAGGCAGACTGAGGCTGAGGCTGAAGCAGGCTGAGGCTGAGGCTGAGGCAGGCTGAGGCTGAGGCTGAGGCTGAGGCTGATACTGAGGCAGGCTGAGGCTGTGGCTGCGACTGCCGCTGCCACTGCGACTGTCATCGCGAATGCGACTGCGACTGCGAGAACAGCAGAACTCTACAACTGGATTCTCATCTGAATCTTAAGGGGAATGCTTCCATATATGCTTCTACACATCGCTGTTAGGTGGCTTTGCCGGGATAATTTAGTATCTCTTCCCGCCACCACTTAATCCTACAGTCTGGTTGCCACCACCACCGCGGAGCCACGCCGCCGTGAGCCCGGCCCTGGCCGCCTTCTTCCCCTGCCCCCCCACGCCGCTCCGCCTCCCCTGCGCCCCCCGCCCCCTCCCTTCGCTCCGCCCTGCCCCGCTCCGCTCCCCGGCCTCCCCCTGGCCTCACGAGGAGGAGGAGGAGGAGGAGGAGGAGGAGGAGGAGGAGGAGGAGGAGGAGGAGGAGGAGGAGGAGGAGGAGGAGGAGGAGGAGGAGGAGGAGGAGGAGGAGGAGGAGGAGGAGGAGGAGGAGGAGGGGGGGAGGAGGAGGGGGAGGAGGAGGAGGAGGAGGAGGAGGAGGAGGAGGAGGAGGAGGAGGAGGAGGAGGAGGAGAAGGAGGAGGAGGGGGAGGAGGATCCCCGCCTCCGCTCTCGCCCTCCCCGCCCCCGGCCGCGCGCGGCCGCCAGAGGCGGCGGCCCGGCCCGCCCCTGCACCTCGCGCGTGCCCC